ATCCCTTGAGCGTTCTTTCACTACCCGCTCGCCCTCCGGCCTACCCTCCCCCCTCTCACCCCCCGTCTCATCTCCCCGCCTTGATTGCTGTAGATGGCGCTGCTGCCGGCCTGACGTAACGGAGCTGCACCGGCTGTGCTAAGTTTACTACCCAGCACAGACTGTTTTTTTTTATCATCATTTCAAATATAGATACTTTAATTGTTTTTAGTGTGGTATTTTTCGATTCTTCCTTTCGTGGGGCTGTGTTCGATGACGGTTGAGAAGTGATTGCATGTTTTTGATCCACGACGCGGCGTCCTGCTGACGCGCCCGCCGCGCGGTCCGCACCCCTTTTCCCTTTCGTTGGCCGGAAATCGGCTATCCCTCGCCACCACGATGCTCGCGGTGGGATGGCGATGGCGCCCTGCGATAGCCACGCCCGCGCCACCGGCGCCGCTTTGGGGCGGTTCCGCCGCTGCCGGCCCGCAATTGTTATGCGATATCGCGGCTATCTCCGGCCCAGCTATCGCTATCTGCTCCAGGACCGGTTGGCCGAGCCGTGCCGACCGGTGCGGCGTTCGGCTAATCCGCGCCAGCAGTATTTGCAGGAGCCGAGGATACATAGTCAGTGCGCTGATTGCGTGAAATGTAAAGTCGACGCCGATTTTTTTTCGCACCGATCGACGTAATCGATCATTGTTTAGCGTGTATCAACATCAGTTTCGGGGCTTACCGCACGCGCACGCTTGCATGCGGGTTGGTGCGGCCGGCAGTGCAGTAAACCTAGAGCCACCATGCAATTACAATGGTTGAGGGACGGGAAGCCCCCACTGACCAGTCTGGGTACGTAAAGTTTTGAATGCGACAGGCACAATAATTCATTTGCAGTGGTGCCTTTGTGTGTGTGTGTGTGTGTGTGTGTTGAAGGGGGAGGGGGATGCAGTTATGAAATGTGTTTCTTTTGCACGAGCACAAACCGGCCGGGTAGGGCTGCCTAGGAGGCATAATGAGAGATGACCGCGATTAGTCTGGGGGCCCTAACGGGG